AATGATCAAAAAAGATAAATTCCTCATGCCATTTGTGGAAACATGGATGGAGCTGGAAGGAATTATGCTCAGTGAAATAAGCCAGAAGTGAAAGATAAATATTGGATGGTTTCACTTATGTGTGGACTATTGAGAAACCAAACGAAGGGTCAAAGACACATTTTAAAACCAACCCTTGAAAGCGGATTATAAATCTGAGACTTCCAGGAGTGGAGGAGGGGGGAATGGATAGAAATTGGGGGGAACACAATGAACTATGGAGGACCTTGGGTGCTTTGGTGATGGGAGGGCTATGGTGACTGCACCTGAGGGAAGAAATCCTACATTGTCAAAAACTGAACAAGGATGCAAAACAACAGCACTTCATTAAAAAACCAACCAACCAACCCAGGCCTGAAGCCTGCCACTGTCACTCTGGTAGTTCTGTGCCTGGCTTGGCTGGCTATGGCAGTTCACCAGGCGGCTGTCTTTCTCATTTCATCTGGATTCATGACCCTCTTTTTCTGGACATTCCCAGCCTCTAAGAAGTATGGAATTATTTCAAAGACATGTAGTTTTTATTCATTTAAAATCCACAAGGCTGAGCTGTTTACCTACAAAACTATAATTAGATGGGTTAAGAGGAGGAAAAAAAAAAAGAAAATGCAAAGCTTCTATCTATTTCAAGCAAAATTTTTTTTTTTAAATTTTTCTAGAGGCATGTTTTTATTTATTTATTTGTTTGCTTGTTTGTTTTGTTTATACATGCACCGGGTACAGTCAGAAGCGCAGGAGGGTGAGAGAATTCACCAGAGCCAGAGCGGGGAGCAGAGCAGGCAGAAAGACCGAAGTACACTGCTGAGGGGAGCAGCGGGCGGCAGGAGAGGTCTGTGCGCCATGTGGGACCCTCCTCCGGTGGCCGGGGAGCAGCCGGGGATCGAACCAGCGCCGCAGAGGCCGCGGGCAGCTTCACAACCCAGCGCTCAACTGCTGTGCCACTGGGGAGTCCCTATTTCAAGCAAAATTAAGAGCTCTGGGCACCAATTCAGCATTCACGGAGGCCCCCATCCATATGTTAAAAAAAAAAAAACTTACGGATGAAGCGGGTCTAAATAAGATCATGTCTGTCACACAAGAATCAAGCTAATTAGGCTGATAGGCCATGTCTCAACACTGTGTCCATGCCATCTCCCCACTACTTTGAAACATTTGACATTTGTTTAGAGCTTAGATTTTCAAGACCATTTCAGCCCTGACACATTCTCTCCATGCACAGAACGAGTATCTGTATTTCAATTGTCTTGCCAATGCTTGATACAATGGAGGCAAGAAATCCTTCTTAACACCTCCTAGTGTACATGGTGCTTTGCAAAGACCATTAGTGCTTGCACAAAAATATTTTCCAACATCTATTCCAACCTGGGGGCAGGATGTGTGTGTGTGTGTGTGTGTGTTTTATCCCTGCTTCACACATTAGGAGTCAGATGCTAAGAGTTTTGGTGGTCGTTCCCAAGGGCTCAAACAGGGATTGGTGATAAAGGGTCTCCTTACTTCTCTGTCATAACACAGGGCCTCTCAGAGGACAAAAGGCATCCAACAGTGATGGTGTGGGTCTCATACAAAGTCAGGGAAGGCAGAACCCATTCCAATTTTTAAGACTAAGAAATGGGGTTCCTTAGAGGTTCGAGGATTTGACCAGGTGGATGAGTTGGGGGCATTCAGAATCAGGCTTGTCAGGAAGGGATGCTGGCCACACCCTGACCACAGAGTAAAAAGCCAGCCCTTTACTAAGTATTTACCATGAAAACATCAGGGACACCAGGATGAACCACACAGATTTCCCCCCCCTAAACATAAAAGGAAGATTAAATAGATTCAAACATGTATTCCCAGAGCCCAGTCTCAACCTGGCTGCTTATACTGCCAGATCTAACCAGATCTTACTCTTCTGCTTTCAAGTTTGCAAGGTTGGAAAAGGCTGCAGGCATCACCCAGACCTATTGACTTGGCACCATCAGTCCTCCCCACTGGCCTGCAATTCAATGTCTTGAGACGTCAATGTCGCTCACCTTTCTTCACCTCCATTTGGGCGTCAAGCAAACTCCTTGCTGTTTTGCAAACACACATAAGGGTCTACTTGCCTCTATGCCTGCTCCTTCCTTCTGAAATGTGAAATCTAACCTATCTTTCATCTGCATTATCTCCACGAACATTTCCTGGTTCTTGAGTTAGAATAGCTTCCTCTGCATCCCACAGCTTGACTCTGCATCAATTAGAATTGATCACAATGAATTTTAATTATAAATATACCTGTGCTCCTCACCCTGACTTGAGAATGTGGCAGAGGTCAAGGCTTAGTCATCTTCATGTTAACCTTGTTTAGTCCAGTTCCTGGCAGAAAAAGAACTAACTTAATAAATACAGAATTGCTGGCTGACTGTTGAAGAACAAGGCTTTCATAGTTAACTTAGCTTCAATATGAAATTCAAAACAATGAAGAAGACAGAACTCAAACATAGCAGGGAAATAACATACACTTTTACTCTTAAAATAAATACTAATCAATTTTATTTTATAAATACAGATGCTGAGTTTTCTTCCAATTACCAAAAGATCAGTTTCACATGCCATTTATTATTGGTGGTGGTTTAAAAAATTATTTAAATAACCAGTTAGGTCAGGATAAATGGGCACCATTAGAACTGCTAAAAAAAATATAGCTGGATACAATCTTCCAAAACTAATATTCTGAGGGGGACAAAAAAAATCTCTGGAATTTCCAAAGTGGGTAAGAGGAAGCAGAAAGAGAAAACACAATCAAATACCCATTTGATAACATTTGTCAGCTGTTAGAAGTGTCTCAGCGACATGAAAACTGAAAAAGCTCTCAGCAGTTCAGAAATGGATAGTAGTAAGTTTTCATTTCAACTTATATCCTCAAAGCAAATTTTAATTTTTTGTATGATTTTCAAGACCAATTCAAAAGATTAGCAGAATATAGCAATTTAGCCCATTATTTTTAGGTCTTGGCCACTTGAAACAGAGGCAAAACAAATTCTGCAGCTTTGTAAAAAGGTTGAACAGTAATTCCTGGTGACGTGTAACACTGGAGGTTCTACCTAGGCCACAGCAGAAGCTGCAGACATCCAACTCAAAGGAAAATCCAACCCCCAAACTAAACAAACCCAAACCTAAGGGGTGTTTCGTGGCACTCAGGACACAGTGAGATTCAAGCAATTGCATAGGTGACTGTTGGTCAATCGTCAGCAATGTGATCACATTCTGAGGCAGCGCTCCATGCTTGCGGAGGAAACGCTGTGAACCCCCAGAGTCAGGGAAAACAAATGGGAGACTGAGGGAGGGAATCTCAGGGATCCTGGCTTATCTTGCTGTGTGGGACCCAAGGTGAACTGTCCACCACGGGCACTCTGCACGGCTCCTGAGTCAGCAGGAGGGGCTGCAGTTGAATGCGCCTTGCCTTTGAATGTGGCCTGCAGTTTAAGGTGCACTCCCTTCTCTGTGGAAATCACATTTCGCACAAGATTCACCTTCTGTCATTCAATCCTAACACAGTCCTTCAAACACTTTTTTGGATGCAGATGTTACTTCATTGGAGGACCCCCCCAGCCCAGTCTGACTTACATCCAAGACCGTGTCTACCGTCACTCCCTGACTCTAAAATGAATGACAGTATCCTACAAAGAAGCTGTGTACATGCCTTCTGCCCCAGGTTTGTGGTAGTCCTACCTCATGTGGAATAAGATGGATTTCTTCTGATCAAGCTAAAGCTTTTAATTGCTTGCAGGTCGGGCCTGTCTGTCATGCAATGTTTCTGTGAGTTTCTACGCGGAAAAAAACAAATGAACTATTCTGTTTAACCACGTAGCTATAAATTAAAATTGAGTCCAGGAGTGCTCGGACAAAACATGAAAATGATTATGAAATCAATGAGTTAAGACGTTATGTAGGATGAATGCAGCAACTGGAGACCACACCTGTGAAGGTGTCTGTGTTGCTATACACACAGAACGTAAACTCAAATGAAGTCAAGGACTTTAGCTTAGATACAGCCATTGTTTTGTTCAGGCTAGTCCTGCTGTGATGTAATACATAGAAATGCAGGTTCAAGAGGAATTCCAAAGCTGGAAGAAAAAATCAGGTCAGGTGATGTAAACTCAATTTTTATTCTTCTATACAATACACGGATATATGGATAAATTTCCCTTAAAGAGCTTGCAACCCTGAGGCGACATCCTTGGGTATATAAAGTATAAAGCAATAGCAAATAAAATCTGAGCTCCAGGAATGACAATTGGATTTCAAAAACATAATTTAATATTTATGCAATTGCACACATACCAATAATATTCTATGCCTCATCTAGTCTCTTAATCCAACTACATCAACTGCCTTGCAGTTTGCACATTGGACAGCCTGACCCTACATATATTTAATCACATACAATGCTTTCCTTTCCAACTAAAATTTAATAAATTAACATGGGATTTACATATAGGCATTTGTGTCTATTGAGTGCACTGCCAGGAAGCATGCCTAGTTGTTTATGGCAGCATCTACCCACGTAAATGCTTTGGTCCCCAAAATGGGTTGGACACTCTCTGACTGGAGCAACTTTGGGGTCCTTGAGGGTCCACTGGGCCGGAACAGAGGTGAGGTTTTCATCTAATTTGAGGACTATTTCAGGGTACAGCTGACTACAGGAGGTGGCAGGTCATGGTTTCTGTGTTAAATAACCAGTGAATCTCACGTCCTCAGTTTTCAGGATGCAGAGCCCCATCTACTGTGAGGTGGGGCAGCAGTGTCTGAGGGTGAGTGGCGCCAGGGGCAGGGACGGGGTGGATGAGCCTAGGTATCTAAGGACACCATTGTGCTTATTCATCAACGGTAGGGTTGGCAAAAGATCCTTCAGTAAATGGTGGAAAGCTTCTTCTGAATATTCATTTCCCCAAAGTTTTATAAACTATGGTGAGGGCAAATTGCTTATGAGAAACTAAAGGTGAGTTCATTATATTATTTATATATTATCATCTTCCCTCTGAGGATAACGCAGAAGTGTAAATAAAAAAGCAGACAAATATCTATAAGGTGACTCGAGCTAGAGAGCAACTTTTGCTTTCAAACAATCGTCAGGCCTGAAAAGCAAATCTTGCAAGCAAAATCTAACTTGTCTGGCCCACTGGTACACAATGACCCTGAGTCCCTTCTTGATTCACAAGGTCTATTTTTCCGAGGAATATCCTCCATTAATATTCATTTTGTGTCATAATCACTAAAGGGCAGCCAGTGCAGCTTTCTCTTCATTTTAGGCAGCAACTCTGTCCTCGTCCTACTGTCTGTCTGTTCACTTCACTTATCAGAGCTCCGGCGCGGCCTGCGGAAGCTGGACACATTTTCATTCAGCGCATAGATCCTTCGGGAGAACTCTTCAAATTCTCCCAGAACTTGCTCGTCACACTCCACTGCCACGGCGCTGTCCACTGGGATGCAGTTAAAGGCTTCCAGCTGATCGCCTGAGGTGAAACCCGTGGCTTCCATCCCAATGATTTCTTCTGCTTGCTCCACCGTGCAGCAGAGCTCAGCTTCTGAGGCGGGGGGGAGCTCACCCGGAAGATGGACGCCGGAGGAGGCGGCCCGCTCGCTGGGCAAGAGAGTGCCGTTCACTGTGGCTGGATGCCCAGGGAGCGCTTCTCCTTGCTCTTGGCTAGTGTCCACACTCACATGGTCCCCAGCTGAGCTGTCACCCAAATCTACTCCTTTTTTCTTATTTTCTTTGGAGAAGTCCAAGGAGGTGTCCAAAGAGGAGGACAGAGATGCTGTCTTCCCCTCAGATTCTCCCATCGGGGGGGTGGTGGTCACGGGCTGGGCCAATGCTGAGTTGTAACTGGGAGGAGGGGTTTTGTATTGGAGTCTCTCATTCTCCGAGCTGGCTCGTTTTCGGTGTCCTTTGTCTGGTGAAGGGATCACCCCCGAGAAGCCCATATCTGCACCCCCAAATATGGAGCTTTGTCTCTTTGGAACAGGGATTGCACTGGAGGTATGATGTCTGTCGCTAGAAGGCAAACAAAAAAATGAGAAATTACTTTTTCTACTTCAGAATACAGCATAAGCTTTTTATATCCAGAGACAGGAAACTGCACATTTAGGTCTGAGTTAATAAAAATTAGTAATAATCCTAATATTAATGGCAGTGTCTGAACACATGAAAAACATAAAGCATTCTGGGTTCAACTTGGACGCTTCCTTCAAGAAGGATACAAGACATGCTAGGACACATCCAGGAGACTGAGTGCCTGGGAGGACGGGGCATAAAAACCAGGTCACATGGCGGAAGAGTTGAAGTAACGAGAATTAGAACTGGAAAGAAAAATAGGGATATAATCAGTTTCACAGTTTGAAGGGTTACCAGTGTTCTTATATTGCTTTTCATATTCAACTCTCATTTTCTCTTCACAAAGCAGGCATCATCACTTGTCAGAGAAGTCCAAGGACTTGCCTGTGATGCCTCCCTGAGCCAGCGGCAAGACTAAGACAACGACTCATGACTCGATGATCAGTAATTTTTCCAGCAACAAATGCTAATCCCCTTGCAGTAGAGAACTGGTAGAAGAGCCCAGGGAGATATAATTAAATATATAAACTTTTTTTAAATGAAAATTTAACTTGGGAAATGACTTCTCCTTTATAAAGCTGGTCACACTGGTGTCTTCAGTCCTTCTTTTGACCTGAGTTCTCAGGAAGGGAGCTTTGGGCCAGCACTCACAATCATGACTGAGCTTAACAAAGCATTTTAGTTTTTGAAGAATTTCATAAACATCATTTCACTCAGTGCTCACAAAAAACCTGCCAGAAAGCAGGCTATGCATTATTACTCCTATATCTGAAATAATAAATAATTAGTGAATGGAAATAGAGTATCGAGGCCCTGGGAGGGCTATTTCAGGCACCCCTGGATGCTGAGCACGGGTCTGGGGGCTCGTCAGCGGCAATACAACGAGATGAACAGACTGAGGGAGGCAAAGGGAGGTGCAAACCCAAGCTCCAGCCGACTGCGATGAGGAAATGCACGGAGAATGGCTTGCCAGAAAGCAATTACTAGGCAGGGGTAGAAGCTAGCCTTGCAACTCTACCCACCCAACAAATAGCTACTATAAGTGCAGGCCTTGGGGAGGGTAAAAATGCAAGACAGAGCAGGCCCTGCCTCTGTGGAGTGTCAATTCTGCAGGAGAAAGACATTCATAATTAGTGAAATAATACATTTTCAAACTACAATAGTGATAAGTACCCGGGGGAAAAGAGAGCCTAGAGCCCTCCGACCTGTGCCCACAGGCCCTTACACCAGCCCTCTCTCTGTTCCTTCTTCTCTCAGGATTTTTCTGGTGCTGGATTATGCCTATGGTCTCAAATCCCTAGGCGAGGGTTATTCTCCTTGAGAAAAGCAACCACAGGCTTCCAAAGTGTGGACTGGTCAGACTCCCTTGCTTGGCTGTAAGTAGTGGAGCCAGGAGAGATTTCATAATTAGGGGTGGTCACTGGGGTGCACCTAGAACTGTGTGAGTAGATCAGTAAATTACTGTTTTTAGTTCTCAAGAAGAACAAAACAAAACAGAGCAACATCTGCTGGTCTTAATCCAGGTTTTCAGTTAATATGTTGTCAAAACGCACGGTAATTGGGTAAGCCGCACATTTCTGCCAACCTTGTGTTTTCACTCTACCACTTGCTGACAGTGTTCCTCTCCAACGATTCTGCAGGGGGCCGAGGTAATCAGACCAAAACAGAGCATCAGCACTCCCCACAGACAGTCTGTTCTGGGCAGACAGGCCATGCTTTCAGTTGCCACCCCTACCTAGGAGGGATGGGACAAGCCAGGGAAGCAGGGAGAACAGAAGGTGACGCTGCTGGCGTGCCACTAGAGGCCAGGCGCTTAACCCCTCATGGTTTTGAAGGGTCAATGACGTGAAACCCTTGCTGCCACCATCTCTCGTCCCCCACATGTGGGCTGGTAAAAGGCAGGACAATAGGAACAGGTTAGGGCCCAGCAAGCAGTGCTCATGATGCAAGGAGAAAGGATATTCTGTGGCCCTCTTTGATTTTGAAACTCCCCAAAAGTTTTCCTTAATAGCACTTGACACGAAGGGAAAGTAATAAAGTGTGACCTGCTTCCTCCCAGCTACAATGGGATGGGAACCACCATTTTCCTGAGCGTCAATGATGTTGAACCCTCACATTTTTCCCTGTGAGAAAGATAGGCAGCTAGGAGGCTTATGTGATTTGTTCAAGGTGGCAGGGCCTGCATCTAAACTATTGGGTTATCGGAAATGCCATGACGCATTTTTGCTTGAAAAAATGTCATGACTTTTCTAACAACGCAACAGATTGGGTCTTATTCCGGAGTCCACACAGTCAGTTACATCCCACATGGGAAAATGATATTCAAACTCAACTAACATTTGCTAAATGCCAAAGAATGCCAGACATCAAACAAAATGACATTACACAGGCCTCCTTTAACCCACCCAACCTATAGGTAACCTCTAGGGTGTTGCCTCCATTTTAATGGAGAGATACTAAGACTCTGAGAGGTAGAGACTTCGATATTTTCTGATTTTGTACCATTATTTTCCAGTTCCCTTGGGTTTTTAGGAGAGAGCAGGCAATGACAGTGTCAGACACAATCTAGAAAACCCAACTGACAAGAAAACATTCTCTCTTAAAAATGGTAATGGAGGGCCTCCCCGGTGGCGCAGCGGTTGAGCGCTGGGTTGCGAAGCTGCCCGCAGCCTCTGCAGCACCGGTTCGATCCCAGGCTGCTCCCCGGCCACTGGAGGAGGGTCCCACATGGCGCGCAGACCTCTCCTGCCGCCCGCTGCTCCCCTCAGCAGTGTACTTCGGTCCTTGTGCCTGCTCTGCTCCCTGCTCTGGCTCTGGTGAATTCTCTCACCCTCCCACGCTTCTGACTGTACCCAGTGCTTGTATAAATAAATAAATAAACAAACAAACAAACAAATAAATAAATAAATCTTAAAAAAAAAAAAAGGTAATGGAGTGAGTCGTCTTCTTTTCCCATTTTAGTCAGGGACAATAAAACCTTTATTTTTTTTTAATCAAAGTCTTTCTTATAATCATAGAAAGAATAAGTGGAACAAAAACAGCTTTTTCTTAATCATGTTGGATCACAACAGGAACACATATCACTAAATGGTGGCGACAGTAGAGAGATTGGGTTTCCAGTGGCAGCAGCTTCTCAGGACATGACTCTGAGTTCTAAGGCTGCACCTCAGTGCTGTGCTCTCTCTTACTGTCAGTGCGACTTTGTCAGTGGCTTTTGCCTGAAGGGACATCTCAATTTTTTTTTTGGGGGGGTGCTTCCAATTTGCTGTATTCTTGTAAAGCTAGATTGCTGAGAATTGTGAGCAAATAGGACTTGAGTGGTAGAACAGCAGATGTCACAGGCATAATACGCCTTCTTACATGTGTTTTATAATATTAGTTTTGGCAGCTCAGAATTTACTATTTCTAGTATCTCAGCAATGTTGCAGACTTTTAAGCTAGCTGAGTTCTAAATAGCTCAAGTGTTGAATGATTACATTAAAATATATACAAACACATGCATTTTTAATTATTATAATAATTTATAGTCTCTGGAAAACTCAAAAATTATAAACCATGTAAAAATAAAAATCACTCACAAGCCTATACCACTATTAGTTTTGGATATTTTCCCTTTAGACTTTGATTTTATATGTGTGCTTTTAACTAAAAAAAAAAAAACCAAACAAACCTAAAGTTATATTTGTGGTATATCAAATTCTGATCCTGCTGATAGATGTTATTAAAATCTCTTGGTAAACAATCTGAAATGCTGGCTTCACTGAATAAAATATCATAATTCACTTAATCATTCCCTCATTTTTGTAGACTTAGAATATTTCCAAACTTTTACTATTAAAAAACAAACTGCTACAAGCATTTCAGTATAAAAACAATGTATAGATTTTGAATAAAATGATTTTGATTTGCATATGTAACAGATTTCTAGAAGGAAACTTCCCTATACATTTTGGTACAAGTTAAATTCTTACAAGAAAGAAGAATTTTACTTTTACTGCCTAAAAAAAAGAGAGGTAGCAATTAATATGCAAAGCAAATACAAATAACAGATCAAAAAATAATGCCCAGAGGTTGTTTCAAGATGCTTTTTGTCTGATTACAGTTGGCTCCATGATTATTTCATCTGATGGAAAAGAGGTTAAAAAAAAAAAAACAAAAACAACAGAGTCACTAATTTTATGACCAATTTTTAAGGGCTGTTGACAATTTACTTATCAAATGAAATTAGCACAGTATTTAAGTTGTGATGAGTAACTTACGGGGAATTTCTACTCTTAGAAACAACCAGAGTAAAGTGGGTGTTTTTGAGCACAGTGGATGCAGCAGGACATGGGGGGCTTCCGTGTGTCCTACAGCACTAGACTTGAGGGCACAGAGCCTCAGTTTTAAGCAACAGGACTGAGTCTCCCAGTTCACTGCACATTCTCCTCATCAGATGTCTGCCTCGAGAGAATGTCTTACAGCTTGACTTAGGTCCAACATGGAAACATAACACCTGGGGTTTAATGCTGCAATTAAAAGGAATTTATTAGAAAACAACCACCCGAAGATATTATAATTACAAATTTATTGGGGTCTGATTTACTTGAAAGAAACATGTATGGGCTGCCGAGTCACTGAACCATATTGGTGACTATTGCTTGCTTAATAATGGAACTTCTGCTACAAGTGAAAAGGGATATCCCAGGGTCCTGAACAATAGCAATGAGGAACAAGTCAGTGGTTTGGAGTTTAAAGGTCTCGTTTAAATTTGGTTTCTTTGGATCAGGTCTTCTCCGATCTCTCGAAATTAAGGCAATTCATTTTTCATTCTGTGAACTCTTATTGATGGCACCAGCTACCTTCCCTCATCTCTTCAGCTGTATCTGGAGATACAATGATGATGAGAGGGATGTTTAAAGACCTGGCTTCTACTCCTAGCTCTCTCACCACAATCCTTT